TATCACAAGATAGGCTATAAAGTCTAAGATCTCAGAGTGCAAAATGATAGGGAAATAAGGAGATAGTATCTATAATTTATAATTGAAAAAGTTAGATTCCCTAAGAAATAAAAAATCAGTAAGTAAACAACTTTTCAATTGATTTCAAATGGTAGCTATAATTTTACTGTGGCAAAACAGAGCTCTGTTAGACTATTTTACAGTACTCTCCTCAGTACTAGGCAATTTGTAAGTCTGTTGGAAGTGGTAGGGAAAAATCATGCTCATGGATCTCAGAGACTCTGCTTTAAATCCTAGCTTTACAATTATTACACATTCTTAGGCAAATCACCCCATCTGAATTTCTGTTTTATTATAGATGAAATGAGGATAATAATTATAATCCTTCTCAGCTTTATTAGAAGGAATAAAGACAATAATAAACCTAAAACTCTCATCAGTACACCTGCCAAAAAGTAGAAGTTCATAAATGACTAGTGTTACTAAAATGATCTGCTTATTCTTGCCTCTTTTGCATGATACTAGCTTAAAAATGAGCTCCATTGGCTTTGGCATTGGCTAGCAGATTAATTATTGACCTTGTAGTGAATAGTTCAAAGCCACCCGTTAATCTGCCAGAGAAAGGTGGGGCCTTCTGCTCCCATGAAGAGTTACACACTTGGCGCCCTTGAGGGCAGGTCTAGCCTGTCCTGTAGGGTCACTATGAGTTCCAATAGACTTGAAGGCAGTGAGAACTTCCTATAGACAGAGACCACTCCATGCCATCTTTTAAGCCATGCTGCCACCCAAGTCTTTGGTTCAGACTGGCTTTCACATTCTTACCGTGCTAATCTACCATAAATGCGATTTGACCTCACAGCAGCCTCATTCATAATGGAGGAAATCTGCTCCATTGGTTTTGAGCTGTGTTTTTCACAGTGGGTTTTATTGAGTTATAATTAACACATTAGACAACTCAATACATCAATCATGGTAAGAAGGGCTGTGTAATCATCACCATGGTCAACTTTGCAACATTTTATTCCTTCTTATACTCATTAAGGTTCATTTCCCATTTCCCCCTATCTCCCCTTTTGTGCCTGCAGGTAATTATTTCAGCTATGATTTATAAATATAAATCTTGGCCTCTCTATACAGAAAAAACAAACAACAACAAAAACCATATGAAACAAGGATAAAGAACAGAAAGAAAGAAAATGACACAGCAATAACAATCATATTAAATAGTGAAAGAACTCAGTCTAAGGAAATGCAAATGATATTAAAGTTTTAGGAGAGATTGAAAGTGAGTGCAAATGGATCTCTAATAGCAAGGTGTTACATTCCAGTCTAAATGCAGTTGTTAAGGTCCTCTTCACAATGCTTTGTCTGATATTAGGGTGCTAAAGAATTGCAGTCTCAGAAACCCACAGGGGCAGGTCTACCCTGTCCTACAGCATCTCTGTGAGTCAGTGGACTCTCTGGGAGTGAAGGAGTCACCTCCCTGGGCTGTGGGAATCACCCCAGACTTGTACTTTTCACAGAAGCATAGCTCCTGGTCTTTCTTACCTGGGTCCCTGGGTCAGCGGAAATGGCCAGCATTGCCATTTGTAGCTGATCACAGCGGCTTCCACCACCCATCTAAAAACATGCTTTGTGTTTTCACTATAATTTTACAACTTGGCTTATCCTATTGTTATGTCCTATCAACTATGGGAATCATTTTATTTTGTAAATTGCCTCTTACCACTGAAATCTTAATGGCAATCACAAGAGAATTCATGAAAGTGGTTTGCGATTTATGTGATACTATAGAATAAGTGAATTCATTTTAGTTAAATGCCTACCTTGGGTATAATATGTTTGTACCCACCTTTTCAACATACATGTGTTTTAAAAGCAAAAGACCTTCCTGCTAGCATTTAAATTATACAACAGCTATTGACCTATATCCATGCAAACCGCTTTGTGACAACACTTTGCAATAAAGACTTAAACAGATATGTAGGATTGCCTCAGCAAATGATGCAGAATATTAAAGATTGTATCTTTTTGGCAGCTCTTCCTCAAAGTAGTGGAGTGTGTTCATACCGGAGGCTAATCCCTATTGTGTATCAGAGGATACTGTCACATTCGCACTGTTCATCCGTCTCACAGAGAGGACGGACTGGGGGAGTAATTACTGATGAGATAAGCCACTTTCTGGAATATATGCAATTAATTCTGCTGAAAGAGGGGGAGACGAAGTCTGACACTTGAATAATGTTTAAGTATACCTAATCTATGTCTTTTCTGTTCTTAATGTTTCCTAAATATGAGAAAGAAAGAGGTTTGAAAGTACTTACAGCTGTCTCTTCTTATGTAAATCATTCATGGGCCTGTAATATTCCTTCTTAAAATGACTGGCATGAAATGATATCATAAATTGTAATAGCATGTTGAGCAAGTGGGGAATTACTTTCAAGATGAATTCAGGATAAGATTTTCATGCACAAAGGATGTTTCTCTTATCCGGTAGAGATTATTCTGTTACTAAAGTTTCAAGGGCATATAATTTTATTCAATTTGAATTTTGAATATATTTTTAAACCAAATCAAAATTACTCTTCTTTCCAGATTCTTGATAAAGTGCTATTTAGCCAAATGCATTTCTTAGTCAGAGCTGTTATTTTTAGGTCCCTCTTTTTTATTATGCATAGTAACCTGATTATACATAATGCTACACTTACAGTTCTTCAACTGCCTTCAGTTTCTAAAAAAGTCATCAATTCTCCAAGCACCTTTATGCAGCAACAGCAACATGCTTTGGTATTCAAATGTCAACAAACGAGCTGAGTACTTGGTTTACACTTAGGTACAGTAAATTGAATTTTAAGGAATTGTGTGAAATGATTGTTTATATGTTTATTTACACTCAAGAATATAATTTTAATTTTGAATGAGAACAAATAAAGTTTAACAAGCAAAAATAGAAGAATGTGTGTGTGTGTGTGTGTGAGAGAGAGAGAGAGAGAGAGAGAGAGAGAGAGAGAGGATTGTCTTCAAAAAGTTCATAGAAAAAAATCCATTACCTTTTAACCCTATTTTTCCATGAGCCATTTGAAACCCCTTGGGTATGAGGAGCTCTGCTGACATACTGGTTACATATTGGGCTTCTAACCACAATATCATCAGTAGTTCAAAACCATAACTTCCTCCATGGAAGAAAGATGAGGCTTTGTATTCTCATAAAGAGTTACAGTTATAGAAACCCACAAGGGCAGTCATCCCCTGCCCTATTGTGTTGCTGTGAGTTGATGGTGTGCTTTTCTGTGTGTGTGTTTAATATATGTGTCTCTGGGTACACTAGACAGAATTTATGTAACTTTGCCTTTTTAAGTTAGTTTTCCCATTGCAAGAGTGGAAACATTGAACTCAATGGACAAAATGATGTGCTGTTTTGGGAATCTGAGGCAGTTAATTTTTAAGATATTATTAAAATTTAGTGAAATATTTAATGCCTTAGTCAAAATTTTCTGTAACCCCCTAAAAATATGAACCTCACAATTCATAATCTGCTTCTCTGTTTAAAATGTTAAATATAGCAATTCAAAATAGCAATTCCAATGGTTACAAAAAATCACAATTTCAATAATTCAAGTTACAGCCCTTTATCTTTAAAATGATTAGTATTATTCTCAATCTCCGCTTGACATATTTTAATATGTAGTGCCACAGAGCTTAGAAATACAAACTAAAAATCCAAAACTGGCTGAACTACTAAAAACTTCACTCTCAAAGTAAATGTCCAGAACTATATGCATTTCAATATAGAAAAAGATTATAAGAAAAAAATCTCTATATTTTTCAGTCAAGTAACTATGTTTTGGTTATGTGTCATGAAGTTGGGTCTAACTCACGATGACCTAAAGTACAACAGAGTGAATCTGTTCCCATGTCCACTGCCAGCCTCGTAATCATTCTTCATTTTGAACCGACTGCGGCACATACTAAGTACCTTATCTTTTTGGAAATCCTCATTGTCTGCTGATTTTATCAAGTCGGAGGTCCTTCTCGAAGGACATCTCCCTCTTGCCAACATGCTCAAAGCTTGTAAGAAGAACATTGTGCCATCCTTGCTTCTAAGGAGCATTCATGGATGTACTCTGCTAGTCCAAGGAAGAGTCCCCAACACCATCATTCACAGTCTTCAGTTTTTCTTTGATCTCTCTTAGTCACTGCCCAGCTTTGGCACACACATGAAGCAATTGAAAATACCATAATGGCCAAGGTCAGACACACCTTCATGCTCACAATGCCATCTTTGTTTCCTAACTCTTTAAAGAGAATGTATTGTCAATTGGGCCTGTGCAAATACATCGGTTTCTTTCTTGACTGTTGCTTCCATGAACATTCTGGATCCAAATACAATGAGACCATTGACAACAGCCATCTTTTTTGTGTTTATCTTGATGTTGCTTATGGGTCTAGTTGTGAGGATTTTTGTTTTCTTTATGTTGAGCTAGAACCCACACTGAATGTGGTAATCTCAGATCTTCATCAGTTAGTGCTTTAAATCCTCTGCATATAGCAAGTAAACCTGTATCATTTGCATATTGCAGGTTGTACCTATGATTTCATCCAAACTTGATGTCAGGTTCTTCTGTATTCCATTTATTCAGCATACAGATTGAATACTTATAGGGAAAGGGGATGGCCCCAATCCACACCTTTCCTGTTTTTAAACTATGCACCATCCCCTTGTTCTACATCAAGTACTTCCCTCCAGACTTTCTCCCCATATGAGCATAATTAGTATTCAGAAATTTAAATATGTGTACTTTAGTGTTATAGAATTATGAAAGTAATCAAAGCCTGAATCAGTAACAGAAGTACTAATAAATAGGTTGAAGGATCCCTATGAGTTGGAATTGATTCAATGGGATTGAGGGGTTTTTTGTTTTGTTTAGTTTTTGCATGGTTTTTGGCAAATGCCCTTGCATTATACATAACTTCATAGGCCAAATACTGTTATCACTTACCAGCTCTTCCTGAAGTTGAAAAATGAGTTCATCTCTCTCCTTCAGCTGCAGCTTGAGCATGGAGCATTCATCTTTCATTATATCCTAGGAAAACATCAAAGAGATCGCATAAGGAAAGTCAGCTTCACTCAGTGGGACATAAATCGCGTAAGACTAAGGAAAGACAAATGTCCTCTATGGTGATATTTTTCATAGTGCACTCTAAGTTATAAAACAAACAGATGTCCAGCAATGTTATTATGCTCCATATGATTTCTGATACTAGTTTTTGTTCTGAGGGTTTTTTCTCCCTTAATCCAGTTGCTCATTTGTTGCCTAAAACAAAACCAAAAAGACTTTCATTCCATTCAAGTGGGATAAAAATCCTTACATTCGAAAAGAAATACTTTGCCTACTATCTGCTTCCTTGCTATAATTACATATTAATCACTAAACCAATGTTCATGATATAGTCTCATGAACTTCTTCTTAGGATATTTTATTTTCCCACTCTGCATGCAGACATAGCCAAGGATGCTATTGGACACAATGCACTCTAGTTCCCTTTACTGATCTTGGATACAAATAGTGAATCCACAGTTATTGGTCTGCCTAGCTTCAGTTCAAATCATGATTACGATTCACTCTGCATCTTCCACACACATTTCAACTCAACATTCAGGCCAACATCCCTTTTCGCCACCTTAAGGCTTCAATTTTGCTTAGTTCTTTCATCATCTTCCTATTTCTGAAAGTAATCGGCAGGAAACTATCCTGGACCCTCACTTTTAAATCACTCTGAATCAAACCAGACACAAAAGTCTTTACTCCCCACTTCCTTCATATTTCTTGTACTTGCTTCTCTTTATTCATTTATTTTTCTTGGCTCACCTTAGGCTCCCAGTCAAGAACCCTGGTGGCATAGTGGTTATGCATTGGGCTGCACCCCAAAAGGGAAGCAGTTGGAAACCACCAGCCACTTCAGGGAGAAAGTTGGGGTGTTCTGGTGCCATCCAGTGTGACAGTCTCAGAAACTCACAGGGGAAGTTCTACCTTGCCAAACAGGGTGGCTAGGAGTCAGCACCCATTAGATGGCAGTGGACTGAGGCCCACATGGCTTCTTATCTGGATAATTGATATAGTCTCTGAACTCAGTTTCTATTCCTTTCCCTACATAGCAGAAAGATTTCTTTCTAAATCAGAATTAATTATATCTATCTTAACCTAATAGAAAATCACCTCCTTTTTCTTGGAAAACACAAAAACTTCAATGTTTTCACTTTCTACCCTCCTGATAACCTTTGCTCATTTATCAAGAGCCAGAATACATAACACAATTTTATGCATGACTATCTGTTTTGGTAGCAAACTTAGTGAGTTACATACTGAGCTGCTAACTGCAAGGTCAGCTGTTTGAGCCCACCTGTTACTTCTTGAGAGAGAGTTGAGGCTGTCTACTTTGGTCGACATTTTTATGTCTCAGGAAAACCAAAGGAGCACTTCTCTGTAAGACTGTTATAATTCACAATCAACTTGCTCACGGTGTGAGTTAGAGGGATCTTTGTATTATACTCTGTTCTGACCCCTAGCAGTCCTGTGTGGGGCAGAGTAGAATTGAGCTCCATAAGTTTTCCCAAGACTTTTGGAAGTTGGACCTTGAATAAAGAAGACCCCACAAGAATGGAAGCATTTGAACTATGGTATCAGTGAAGCATATGGAAAGTGTCACGGGCTGCCCAATGAACTAAGAAATCTGCCTCGGGAGAAGCACAGCCAGAAGGCTCCTTAGAAACACGGACTTTGTCCCACGCATCATGCTGGGTAAAGTAGAGGGGCAGCGAAAATGAGGAAGATGTGGACAAGATGGATTGACACAGTGGCTGCGTCAAGGGGCTCAAACAGTAACAATTATGAGGACGTCTCAGGATTGGGCAGTGTTTCCTTCTTTGGTGACAGTTCTAGGGATTGGTAGGGCCATTCAACCAGTTCCAATCCATAGCAACCCAATATACCACAGAATGAACCATTGCCCAGTTCTGCACCTGCCTCACAATTTTTCCTAGATTTGGGCCCATTGTTGCAACTACTATGCCAATTCACCCCATTGTTTTTAATATTTATGCTCACAGATTTTAAATATTGTATGTTACTGTGGTAACAGCACAAAGATCTTAACTTCCTTCACAATGCAAAGAAAAATGTCAGCCAACGTTGGAAGCAGGTAGCAGAATCTTGCTTCTTAGAATCATAGAGATCTAAGATCAAATCCAATGCTGCAAGCCACTGGTCACGTTGCTGTGTGCAAGTTTCTTGTCTCTTAGAGCCCCATGAAAACTCTCTCAATATGGCACCATGCACCATATGATATCTATTTTGGTTAAATTTTATGCCAGTGTTATGGGACCCGTGTGGAGGTAGAGGTAGGGTTCAAGTGACCAATCAGGTGATATTGTGGTGATGCCTCCTTGGGGAGGGGAGGGTGGCCTTTTAACAAGCGAGGGCATTTTCTGGTCTTTCATCCTTCCTTCTTGCCAGGATTCTGTGCCTGCTGCCAGGGACAGTGTAATAATACAGACCTTCAACCTGGAGATCTGTGGGCTCCTTGTCGTATTCCCCCAGATCCTGGCTCTTTACGCATCTGCGTGTTCTGCCCTGTGATTTCCTGCTTCCTGCTTTACCTCTCTGTGCCCTCAGCCTGCAGTTCCATGAGCCTAAGGAGGTCCCCCTGCCAGCATGGAACCCACGGACTTGAGCTGGACAGGGCGGGGACACCTTCTTGATATAAAATGACTTCTTAATATAAAATTCTTTCTAAAACAAAGAAATGTCACTGGTTTTGTTTCTCTAGATAGACCGGCCCAACCTAATAACTGATGACCAAACATTATTGTGCTTCTAAAGCCAATGTCCTGCATATTACCTCACTTAAGAAAAGTGAATTATTTTCATTAAAAAAGGGAGTCACAGATTGAGTTTTCCAGGAAGCAGATGCTAAAATGATGCTAAGAGAGTCAAGGGTTCTTTTGTTGGCTTGTATCTGTCCTCCACACCCCCACGGGAGGACTGTGCAGGTGGGAGGAAGTTCAACTGTAATTTCGGCAGGGACTCAGAAAGTACTAGCAAGTGGAGCCAGTTAGCCATTCCTTACAACTGGGTGAGTCATGTTTTGAAAAGAAATTTGAGAACCAGTCCATGTCAACCCCAGTTGTTTGGGGCTGATTAATTATTTCTTATTTTAAAATAGAACTGCCAATTTGCGGCTACTGAGAAAACAAAAATCCTTACAACTGGATCAATAGGTACCATCGTGTTAAGTGGAGAAAAGATTGATGTTGTCAAGGATTTCATCTTGCTCGGATCCACAATCAATGGTCATGGAATCAGCAGTCAGGAAAGCAAAGGACACACTGCATTGAGTAAATCTGCTGAATGGACCTCGCAGAGTGTTGCAAAGCAAGGTGATCACTTCGAGAACTAAGGTGCACCTGACCCAAGTCACGGTCACTTCAACGGCTTCCTAAGGTAAAGGGGGACAGCAAAAATGAGGAAAGCCCCCGACAACCTGGATTGCAACACTGGCTGCAACAATGGACTCCCTAATTGTGAGGATAGCACAGGACTGCACTGTGTTTCCTTTTGTTATACACAGTGTCACTAGGAGTTGCAACACGCAAGGACACCCAACAACATCCAAAGAATCTGGTTATCAGAAAAATACATTCACTTTACACAACTCTCGCGTGGCCCTCTCAGCGAAACTTCCCAAGAATTTTATAACGCCACAGATTTAAATAAAACAAATGATAAAACATAGACTTCATTCGTTTTTGAATGACTGTCAGCTGTCGGCCAGTCCTGTTGAGTCAGTCTCAGCTCAGAGTGCCCGCGTGTCAAGCAGAAGGAAGCACCCGCCCACCCTGCACCACCCTCACAATTGTTCTGGCGACGCCCATTGTTGCAGCCACAGTGCCAACCTCTCTCAGGAGGGCTTTCCTCTTTTATCAACGCCCTTTTCTACTTTCCAGTGTATTTAATATGTATCCTATTTAAGAAGTTAATTTATAAACGGCTTTTCTATGAATGGCTCCTAAAAGGAATTTTTGTTACCTACTGTTTTGTTTTTAGTTGTAATATAAATATGTGGCAACATTTGGGTAAGCATCTAATAAACTGAATCAAATCCCTTGAACGACACCTACTCTTATATAAAGGATGATATTAATATTCCCTCAATATTTTCATTACATTTGCAAAATTAGACATCATTTCGCAGCAAGATTATCAATTGAACTAAAAATCATTGAGTTTTGGAAATGCAATGTTCTTATTTTCAAAATAACCTTATTCCATTAACTGATAGGTTAATGTAACCAATGAAAACCTATACTAATTTAAATGAGCATCACCATACAAAGAAAAATATATAATTCAACAGTTATGACATCTTCTGTTGCCCATTTCAGAATGTTGCAGCAACATGTCAATCTAAATGTAAATTACAGCTATTATAAATAGACAAGGTGCATGCGATTCCTTGTCAGAATTCTTACCTTCCATGTAGAGACCTGTTAGATTCCTAGTTACTGCACCTCGTGCCCAGCCAGCTGCTGGCTGTCATGGAGATCTATGTGTTGCTATGATGCTGAACAGGTTTCAGCAGTTTCCAGACTAATCCTAGAGTGAAGGCCTGGAGAGCTCATCATCCAATAAAACCCTTATAAACGATGTGATGGGCATCATTTGCTCTTTTGTACATGGTGTTGTCTGTCATGAGTCAGAGGCCAACTCAAGGGTATCTAATGATAACAATGACATAATCATGTATGTAACAGTAACATTCATCTCCCAGTTTGTCTTCCCATGGTGGCTTGGGTGGTGCTATATAATGCTGGATGCTGGGCCACTGGTATGTCAAACACCTGCAGGCTCACGGATGATGGACAGGTTTCAATAGACCTTCTAGAATACGGCAGGGTAGGGTCTACTTCTGAAATTAGCCAATACAAATGTGTATATTACAGCAGAATCGTGTCCAGCAGAGCTGGGAAGTGAGTACCCTGGGATGACAGGCACTTGCTGTTGATGAAAGACACAGACAAACCTAT